CCCCCCCCCCCCCCCCCCCCTCCCTCGACTTTTTGTGATATTGATATTCCTGTCCTCTGTGAAGCCTGACATTAACTAAAGGATCAATGTTAACTATCATAATTTGAATTAGATGACTCCACTTCAGTTTGATCTTAGAATGTTTTCGTATTGAACATACTGCCTATACTACCCCCACCTAATGAACTATGAAGCCGAATTCTAAGTAATTCATGACACTGAATGTAGTGTAATTGGTGAAATATTATGAGGCAAAATATACAGAGTGCCAGAAGGAAGAGAGAAGTTGCGCGGGCGAGTTGAAACAAACTATTAGTAATAAAATAATAATAAGAAACAATGTAGGAATGAGCAAAACATGACTTTTGCTGTTTTGTTCGAGGAGACGCATTCCAATTGGTTAGATGGGTTAGATAGGTTAAAGTTTTGTCTGTGTTCGGATAATTCCATGAACTAAGTGTTGATTACAAATCGAATGAAGACAGATATTTTAACACACATTAATTCATTTCAAATTTTCATACCAACCTATGAAATAAAAGCACTGAATGAATCTTCAATTTGGGGCCAGGGATACCATATTATAAATGAGGAAATAACTATGCCAGACATCCGCCTTGCAATTCAATTACTATCGATCTATCTATTCGGAATCTATGCTACATCTATGGCATTACTTTACAAGTACGATCATTATGTTGCCTCTCATTCTCTGTTATCAATTAGAATAGATACTCCACTACCGATTCTACCGTCTTTTCCATTTGTGATGATGGAGTTGGCTAGGTTTGAGAGTTCCTCCGTTTCATCATCTGCACGCGAATTCTAGATCTCAATTTAAAAATCACTAACTATTTCTGTGGAAATAAATTTGAGTGAACGCATTTGACATATCCGGAGGTTATATGAGCATTAATCAAATGTTAAATGCTTAATTAAACGGTATCCCAAGTTGAGTGTAAGTTAAAAAAACTAATTTAACTTCAATATTTTATGGTTGGATAAATTTTGATAATCATGAAATGAGCGGAATATTTAAATGTGCTCTTGAAATTTACTTATTTGATAGAATATGCTTAATCGTGAGGTCATTCGAATTTGAAAAAAAAGCTGACCATGTAATTACTGAATTCCGTAATTTGAAGCTGTATTGGAATCTAATTCGGTAATAAAAATAGTCGTTTTGAAACTGATTATTACGATCTAAATCAGGCTGAAATAATGCAAAGGACATTTTTGTTTTTTCAATATCAAGTAATATCATCATGATTGTAAACTCACTTTGTGTAGCACGGAACACCGGTTAGGTGATAAAAACTCGAATCAAATATTGTTCTTTTAAAAAAGGACTAAAATTTTCCGAATATTATGGAAATAAAGCATTAAATATGATTAATACGTACGAAAACCCAAACTTTTGTTCTAGTTACAATACTTTACGAACCTCTAATTGCAAAATTATTAATAGCTAGTTCATTAAGTTAGCTCTTTAAAAAAGCATACATTTATTGCAGCAAATTCAAAGAGAATTATTCATATGTAGTGGATTGCTACACTAGTAAAGCCTTGACTGACTCAAAAGTCTCTATGACAGAATCTCCTATATCTCGATAGACTCCTAGAACTAGATAAGCTGCAGACTAGCTGTAGAGGAAGCAGAGGTATCGCACTGAACACGTTTATGTAGGAAGTGTAAGGTGGTAAAAGAGTACACGCCGTAAGGTGAGTCATAATCAACATGGCGGATCCATTTAAACAAACAAAGGTTTCTGATTGGCCATTGGTTGTGCGCGCATGCGATCACGTGTAGGAGGATGACGTGTCCCACAATATATTTCGCTAATCCATTAATAGCATTGGCTGCCTTCTAATTAAATTGTTACCATTGAAGTACGACTATAAGCGCCGTCGACAAACTTGCCGATTTTAATTAACAAACAAACAGTGCACATTTATCGACAGCGGTTAGGCTGTCTGAGTTCGCACAACGGTCCAAAAATTAAGACAAAGTAGTCGCTATTACTGTGTTTACTCCTTATATCTACAATTTATGACAAGATATAAGTAAATTACACTCCCCCCCCCCCTCCCCTCCCCTCCTCCAAAAAATAAGGTTGTAACAAATTGTTACGCGAACGGGCCTTGACCTATATTCAAGTTGTTTTTTATGGCAAAACAACCTCAACAATATAGTGGAAACAGGCGTATAGTATGGAAAATATATTATGAGGCGTTGTTAAATAATGCAGCGATTATTGCTTAATAGCTGGTTGATAAGTCTTTGCTCTCATGCGGCTCCCTGTGCACTCCCCACCTTCGGAGTCCACCTTTGTTCAGCTAAAATAGCATTACTCACTCCCATGAAGTACTTCAAGCAATTACAGATCACTATCCAACCACGGAAAAATGAAGGCCGAATGTCTCATAAAAGTCTCAGTATTCTACTCCAAACTGTCCCATCCTAATGTGTTCCCCTGTTCGAAATTCTGATTTCGACGCCATGATTTAGCAGCCAAACTCGAATGATTAATTGCTCCAAGAGCACTACATCTGTTAGCTGACAGTTGGGTTCCATTAATATCCACGACTAACCATTGATAAAAGAGACAATCCCATAATTTGTTCATTTCCGAATTCACAAATTGTTATCATAAAATTTGGAAAGAACGTAAATAGTGGCATTATTCCATAAAACAATCGTGTAATACAATATCCTCAGTTCAGGGAGATTAATATGAGAATTATTGGAAATCGATAGAATATTTATTCAAAATTAAATATATATGTTTAGAAATGAAGTTAGAACTAAAAGAACTAAAGAACAACTAAAAGAATGATCTAATTCATGGAGGCAGGAGCAGACGAGGCTCTATGGCATCGATGAGCAAGCCTCCTTTTGAATCTTCGGTAACCACGTGGACCATGGCGTTGACGACTAAATGGACTATTCGGGTTCGTCAGATTTCTCTTTTTCGAAACTGAAAATTTAAAAGGTATTCATAAAAATTTAATGATATTTTTGTCAGTAAACAAAATTCCGACTAAATAAGAGTATGATTAACCATTCAAAAATTATAAAAGGAGAAACTGAGTCAGAGAGCCATAACACATTCATACTACACATACCTTTAACACCGACGCGAATATTGGAAAAAGATACCGAGGCAGCTTCAGATGATTCGCAATTGCATCCTTCGAACTTCTCATCTTCCTTGTCACTTCCCTCAACAGTAACATCCAAATCACAGCCACCATCTGATCCTTCATCATCTTCATCTTCAGTCTCTGACAATGAACACCCTTCACTCGTCTCATCTTCCTTGTCACTTCCCTCAACAGAAACATCTACATCACAACCACCATCACTTTCTTCCTTATCCTCCTCTT